CGAAATCATCAACAAACTTGGACTCAACAAATCCTCTTCTTGCAACAGTCCTTTTTCCACAAAATATCCTCAAATCTTGATTCATTGAAATTATGGTTTTTTGTCTTGCATCCACTAATAAACCATTGAAGACTTCACACATATTATTATCAACAATATCACACTTTATATCTGTTTTGAAGAAGGCCCTACACCAGTGTTTTGGATCTGAATCTAATAAGTCATTCCTTGCTGAAGCTTTTAATTTGGTTAACTCATCCAAAGCTTTGTTGAATTCGGCAATGGTATATGATTTCACACACTTCCAAAAAGCAATTTGCAATGCTTTGCCTTTGTTTTTCTTCTTGAAATTGCAGTATTTATGCCTAGCACAAAATCTGTGCTCAGCATAAGGGAAAATCTCCTTAACTGCTTGAATAAGTCCTTGTTAAATTGGTACAAGTTAGCACAAATGATTAACTTATTTAAATTGGAAAAAATATATAATGAAAAGCAAAATGACACCTTTTGTTGGTCTAACATAATGTAGAATTTTGTTCCATCTCCCATTAGCAAATCATTTTGTAATTCTTCAAAAAACCATAACCATGTTTCTGTTTTTTCAACCTCGACAACTGCCCATGCAATCGGAAACATTTGGTTGTTTGCATCTCTTCCAATTGCAGTCAACAATTCTCCTTTGTGAGCACCTTTAAGAAAGGCACCATCATCACCAATGATGCGCTTGCAGCCAACAAGAAACACCTTCTTTAAAGCACTAAAACATACATACATTCTCATAAAAGTGGGGTTAACATCTGCTATGGGTCTATGAGCATGGAGAACAATGTTTGCTTCTGGATCTTTTGACCTCAGTTCATTAGCATAGTCAAATAGCATGCCATATTCAGCCTTGGAAGCACCTTCAAAAGTCCTTTTCAACTGTTGCTTTGTTTTCTTACATTGCACCGAAGTTAGCTCAATATTCTTCTCATTCCAAATAGCTTGAAAGATGCTGTCATAATTCATATACAAACAAGTTGCTCCTCTAGAATTAACTAAATGCTTAGCTGCATGGCGTGAAGTATATCTCTTGTTCACAACACCCCAATTGCATGTATGCTCTTGTTGGAAAGTTTTTACCATCCAAGAGTCTAATGGGCTGTCCTTTGCCAACAAAGTCTTCCATCTGCACCCTTTTTTCTTAGCTTCCTTGCATATTGCCCTCAACCTGACCTTGTCATTTTTCACCCATTTAATTTGTCTACCTTCTTTAAAACTCAACTCATCAACAGCTTTTTTAAACTGTTCCTTGCTAATAAAAATCATCCCAAGACCTATCATAAGCCAATCTTCATGTTCCTTGCATACCGGATGTATAGCCTTTCTTTTTCTACCATGTTCAACTTCACTGTCATCCTCATCACTTGTTGTAATATAGCTAACATCATCATCTGATTGGATTGCTCCATCATCAATTTCTGCTACTGCATCAATATGTCCTGTACAAACAAACCAAAATAAATTAGACACAATAGATATTAAAGGCAATAAATAATAAATTACAAGAAGAAATAGACAAACCTGCACCAATAGCAATACTCGAAGATCCCACTTCCACGATAGATTCTGATTGCTCATTCTCAGTTCTGGGTTTACCTTGTGAAGCTATGAAGTTTCTCAAAATTATCCTAGCTTCAATAGTCTCCTCATCTTCATTATCCGACAAATCAGGGACATCTAGCACTAGTTCTACCATACCACTGTCTACAGTGACAATATTTAAGTCTTCAATTCCAACTTCATTGTGGACCGCACCAGCACCTCCACCATCGTTAAATATTTCATTTTCTTCTTCTTCATTGCTCCAACTTCCACCAACCTCATTTACTACTTCATCTACATTATTCGAACGCCCAGTAACCTTTGTAAAAAAAAAAAATTAATAACACAATAGAATAAAGATAACATCAATATTCAATTAAATAATGCAAGAATCTAAGCATGTAGAAACAAATAAGTGGGACCAAATGTTGTCTCCACATTTCCACACAAACTCGACAATTCCAACCCCTATTCCACATCATACTGACATAAAAAAGCCAAACAAAAGTTACATTATTCAAAAGATTCGCATAATCAAAAGGTAGAACATACCTGATCCTCGATTTCCTCCTCTTCTTAATCTCTGATTTTTGGTCCCTCACGGTTCTTTTCTCCACTTTTGGAGAACGGGTCCATGTATACAATCTAATCTAATTGTAAAAAGTGATAAATTCTATTGAAAATTGCAGAGCTTTTATGGTTTTGTTTATGCAAAAGTGAGAATTTTCCCCTTCTTTTCTTTTTTTAATGTGCAGTTCTACACTGGTTTATTCAGAAGGTGGGAGAGGCGGGAGAGGCGGGAATCAAACGTGGACTGAAAATGGTGCTATATCATCAATTGGCTGAGTTGGTTTTTCCACGTAGGCATGAAAAAATTAAA